ATTTCCCTATTATATATTGAATTATATATTATTAAATAGAATCCAATAGTTAGACTTTTAGATTTATAATAATAAAAAAATAAATTTATAAATAATCCTCTTTGAGTCCTCCAATATTTGCCAACACATTCACTATTTATATCCTCCCTCCTTTGCTTATCTCCCACCCCAAGCCAACAACTTTGGCTAATCTTTTCATTTCTTCCCCTTAATTCTTCCTTTTATTTTCATTTCAGTCCTTGCTGTATAAGAAGGAAGGTTGGAGAGGAGGAGGTTGAAGTGAAGGAGACATGCCTTCCATTCCTCCTCCCAAGCCGTCCACCCAATTCCAAATGGTGACCGCCGCGGAGCGGTGCACGGCGCACGCGCTGCCGGAGGCGGTGGCGAGGCACCACGAGCACGCGGCGGGACCGAAGCAGTGCTGCTCGGCGGTAGTGCAGGCGGTGGCGGCGCCGGTTGGCGCGGTGTGGTCGGTGGTGCGGCGCTTCGACGAGCCGCAGGCCTACAAGCACTTCGTGAAGAGCTGCCGCGTCGTGGGTGGCAACGGCGGGGTGGGCACGCTCCGGGAGGTGCGCGTCGTGTCGGGCCTGCCGGCGGCGACCAGCACCGAGCGGCTCGAGGTCCTGGACGACGAGCACCACGTGCTCAGCTTCCGGGTGGTCGGCGGCGACCACCGCCTCGCCAACTACCGGTCCGTCACCACGCTTCACCCCGCAGCGGGCGGCGGCGGCGGCACTGAGGTCGTGGAGTCGTACGTGGTGGACGTGCCGCCGGGCAACACCAGGGAGGACACGCGCGTGTTCGTCGACACCATCGTCAAGTGCAACCTCCAATCCCTGGCGCGCACCGCCGAAGCCCTTCACCGGCGCCACGTCGCCGCCGCGCCGACGGCGACCCCGTGATCCACCTCCTCTTCCCTGGCCTGTCTCTCTTGTCTCTGTCTTCTTCATCTTTTGCTTAGTGTAGTAAACACAGTTGTACAGCTCACGAAATAAAAATCATAATATTTCTCCTCTCCACTTTTCCATTCTTTTGTGGCAAACACAATTCACATAAAAAGTGGCATTAACGTTTGACAAATTTTTAAGATCATATTATTCACCTTAAAAAGATGAATTCCTTGAAAAAATTAATAATAGTAAGCGAAAAACAATTTTGATTGAGTGTCATTTATTTGGAGAAAAGCAGACAAAGCTTTACCTTAATGGCTTCCCCAAGCACAAAGTAGTAGAACACAAATTTTCTATTCAAAGATTGAGGTGTCATCCCTTCAAAGTCATCTGCAGCTACATTTGAACAAAGAAAGGAGTTGTTATTTAGTCAGTGCTCATCTGATGCATGATAAGGTTTTAAATTCTTGCCCTAATTTCTTTAGTCACAGGAGGTTTCAAACTTGCATAAAATTACATTTACATATATATATATTTTAAGATATGTAATGTAATGTAATGTATTACTTTCCTGTGACGGGGAATCAGCAGCTGGCTCTACTACCTCTGCAACTTGCTGCTGATAACCTCAAGTTGGTGATGGACAAGAGGCAAGTTGGGGTTCCTTTGTTTGGCCTTTGTATCTGCCACTGTCCTTCGCTTGTCCCTCTTTTGCCATCTTGTTGCAATTTCTTGTGATGCATTATTTCTGCTTGGTACCAGGAAATGGGGATGGTCTGCAACTTGTGCTGCAAGTGGGAATGGCTGGCTTCACTGGTTCCTATCACCCTCTAATTTATGGATTGAGCCCCCTACTCCTCGTGTACATCAATCACTTTCAAAGCCTTTTCTCAGAATTGACCACACAGTGGGTCAGGTTAAATGGTGGGTGGGTTTACAGGAATGAATCAATCAATGAATGAATGAATAGTGAATAATACAAAGTGAAAAGGGTAGTGGCTTGTTGGTCTAAAGGTGAAGTAACATACCCTTCTTTCATTGGTGGTACAACGGTCACAGGGGACTGATTCAGTCATCAAATGCTAGCTAGCTAGCTAGCACAGTCGAAAGATTCACCCTTACTGTCTCAGAGTTTCTGGAACAACAATTACCTAAAGTTATTTGTAAAGCAACTCATCTGGCACAGCCAAAGGACTTTTACCCTAAGTCTGGGAGTTCTTGGAAGACAGACCTATTGCCAAATTTAGCATCAGAGCAACTCATCAAGCACAACCATGGCAGATCTACCTTGCAAGTCCTGTTTCAATGATAGAAAATAATGATGTGTAATATATATATATATATATATATATATATATATATATATATATATATATATATATATATATATATATATAT